GAAACGGAACACAAGGCTCCCCTCCCCCACACCTTCAGGCTGCAGTGGGAGGAAAGGCGGCTCAGCAAAAATGAAATCAGTAAAATACATATATATATATAAAAAATTAATTCGGGGGAAAAACATAGTGAAAGGAAAAGGTAAAAAATCCCCTTCTTAAAGGAGAAGGGAGGAAGGGCGGGGGTAGCGAGTGGAAGTAGAAGCAGAGCGCGCATCCACCCCCCCCAGCGCATTGGTGGTTCAGGCAGATCCTGCTCTCCCACCCTGCTCCCCGGTGCCGGCGGGGCTCCGCAGCCTCGGCCGGGGCTCCAGCCCAAGGACCAGGAGACCCCTCCGAGCCCGCACCCACGCGGGGCTTTATGCTGCGCTCCGGTGCCTGTGCTTCCCACACACGCTTGTACAGGCACACACACACACACACACCCCCGGCGCTGCTCCGCGGCTGATCCCCCAGCGGAGCCCGCGGGGAGGGGGCGATCCGCGCCCGCCGGGCACCGCGCAGCGGGTGCGGGAGGAGGCGGCGGCCGCGGGCCCTGAAACCCTGCTGGAAGAAAGGGAAGGAAAAAAAAAAAAAAAAAAGGAGAGAGAGGGGGGAAAAGGAAAATCTCTCTCCCTGCCTATGAAATGCTGAAAAGGCGTCTCGGGGCCCTTCGGGTGAGCAGATCCTCGTGTAAGTTTACAGACGAGTTTCCTAGCTCCCCACGTCACGAAGGGCTCTCCATTCCCCTGCGCTGCAAAGAACATATTCTTAACTCTTTATTATTCAGAATAAAAACTTTATTTTTTTTTTTTCCAGAACGTGAGCAGCAAGGAATGTATAACTTTCAAAACAAATCTAGCCTTTTCAGCTTCACACACTTTTTGCCTAGCTGGATGTTACAAGCATAAAGTATTCAAACGGCGATCTTTTTTCCCAGATTTTATTGCATCGTCATCATCATTATTATCACTATTTTTAATAAAAGGAGTTAATAGGTTCCTTTCAAATGATAATTCTAACACGTGCCGATATGCCATCTAATATATGGCCTCCTGAATATTCAGGGTACAGATATTTTATATATATATAAATATGAACAAATGGGGATAAATAAAATTTTAAACACTTAGATTATTCAATGTTTGCGAAAAAAAAATATAAATAAATCTGAATGTTCACCAGCATACACACATTGAAAGACTTACACGTATCAATAATTGTCCAGGAAGTCCCTGTCCAAGCGCTTTTGATGTCTTTCTTGCTATTTAAAAGAAGTGCAATAAAAAAAATTGCTTCCCCGTGGGATCAATCATGTACGAACAAATTCACATTTAAGAATTCCTTTTATAGAAAATTTGTTCATATACCCTGTTTTGATAAAAGTGTAGAAGGTAAAGTATAAAGCCTCTGCATACTCCCAAAGTGAGACACAAGGCTACAGTTCAAGAAGATAAATATCCACTAGTGAAACTATAGAGCAATTCAAGCAACGAATATTGC